CGGACTTTCGGAGATCGAAGATCGCGAATAAACGGGATAACAAAACCGACATCACAGACACCCTTAGAACATATATAAATGGAACGGACGTTGCCTATACTTCCCATGGCTCGCGCTGATACAAACGTCTGTGCGAGAGAAAGGTAGTAAGGGATAAATGTTCCCAATGCGCATGCGCAGCATCACGTTTTACACACTGTGTAATGTACGAATGCGTAAGAAACACTAACCAACTGCACAATTCACACAGATGACGGTGCTGCGCATGCGCATTGCGAATATTTATCCCTTACTACCTTTCTCTCTCGCACAGATGTGGCTTCACGTTCAGCGCCCTATCACCTATGCCCCTTCCATTTATATATGTTCTAAGCAGATACCACCGACATAACCTAATCGAAGTAAATGACGTAAACATCCAGAATGCGCATGAGTAGTAATATAAAGTTGTTATCGCCATCTGGTGATTCGGTGACATTCCGTGGTCACGTCAAACTCAAGAAACGAATGGGAGTGTCAGGTGTCAGGGGACTGGTCTTTCCTATGCGAGAATTTTATCGTTACTTATCAAACACTCTGTATATGTAAACCAAGTCCCCTTCTTAGCTGTGTGTGCTGAAGTGTAATAAATTCTATTCTATATATTTAAGAAAAGGATATTACGAAACACAAAAAGTATTTAGGATGATGAGATATCTCCTTCTTGGCTAGCAGAAACTTTTCACATTAAAAATTTTTCTTGCCACGTAACAATTACGAATTATACCTTTCCGCTTCCTTGCGTGCATGGTTTTCGGCAAAGCGTAGGGCTGTCCTCTCGACAAAGAGACGGTTACTTTTTCTCAGCTCTCTCTTGATACGATCAGCGTGCATCTGCCTTAGATATTTCCGGTACTCGTTATAATCGTGCAGCGAACACTTCACGTCCATATTATCTGTGATTAGATCGGCTTTCAGTAGACATTTTCGATTAATTGGTCTAGAAAAGAACTTGAACAGATGCTCGTCGTGCAGAGGTTCATAAAGGAATTTGGTTTCATGGCAATAAGGATCGCTCAAATTAAATTCTAATTTCGGTCCCCATAATTTTCTCCCCACTTTGCGCCGCGTAAAGCTGTAAGCGCCCTTTGGTCCAGGTATCATTGGTATTTTATGCTCCAGAGGCATTATCTTCCATCCCGGTAAACCGAACTTTGGCACGGCGCCTTTCGGTTTAGGAACGGTCTCAGCGAGCCGTTCTAAATCCCTGTTTCAAGGAATAATCCTCGACTCACTAATCTGTTATCTTTTATATATTTGTATTTTATTTTTTATATATTTATATACATATTGTATACAAAATATGTATAACTTATGAATATATGAAAGTAAGAACTATTAATTAATAAATAATATTTAAACCTGAGAAATTTGATAAATTCATTTATATTGTCATATGATTATAAAAGGAAAAATGAACCAATCACTTAATGTTAACATTGTTAATTTCACATATTATTAAAAATTTGGTTTAAAGTTGATTTCTAAAGTTTAAATACGAATTAATTTATTAATATTAAAAATTTCATTCTGTCCAAACACACACACACACACACAAATAAAAATATATAGAATATAGAATATATATAAATATATAGAATATATATAAATAAATATATATAGAATGTAAATATAAAATCTTCTCTAATTTACTTCTAATTTGTAGCATAACATGAAATTTGCGTTTAAAATATTAAAGATTATAGATTAAAATTTATTAAAATATTTCGTTACATAGGTTAAATACATATAGATATATACATTATATGTAGAAAAACACAATACTTACGTAATTCTTTTAATTCTAATCATAATGCGCATTGATTTATGAGGTACGAAGTAACCATTCACGTCGTTAATTTAGAACATGTTAGTTCTATTTTCTCACAGCATATTTAAATTTATAATAGTGCACAAAATTATTGATATTTCAATGGGGTACGCGCATGTAAATTTTATCGGTTTTTCCTTCATTTGTTTGATAAAATAAATCATTAAAAAAATACAATGTGTTCAGTACCATTACTTCTATACTATTTTTAAATATTGTAATATCTATAATATAAAGTATATAATTATATAAACAAGCGGTGGTTTTCTTTAAAATAAAATAATGCAGCAAAATTTGCCACAAATGCCGTTTTATTGGCACAAAATTTGACATTTTCAATGCAATGAGAAAATTTGTTGTTTACACTGCACTCTAATGTCATATACTAAATCTTAAAGCGTACTTAGGTATCTAATATTTAGATATGTTATCATCTTAAATTACATGCACGCAGTACTGATAACGGCATTTATTAGAAAACGATGGGAACTCTTATTTGTGTGTATATGTGTATTTTTATGCAAGCATGCTAAATAGGTGTAAAGTCAAAATGTAACAATCGTATGAATCTTATTCCTTAAATCGTTCCGTTTTAATTTTATTGAAAATCGTAAATTAATATAACGAATATTTTTTACAATACAATGTAAACAGTAGCCTGTGATAAACCCTATCTCCACATTGTCTTGTTAAATATATAAATTGTATTATATTCGTTTTTTTAATCTAAACACTGCTGTAATTCTTTATTTTTAATTAGATTTAATATGTAATTATTCTTTTTGCGTTAGGATGGAAAATCAATGTGGGATCCTAAATTTTATACAACGCTATCTATGGTCGAAATGATACGCATTTTCCAGGGCGATGACGACGTTACCATCCCACGCCTATCTCAAAGATTGATAATTTTGCATGAAGTTGGAAAAGTTTTGTTGGACCACTATAATGGTATAAATCATTACATGATAATATTTCATATGTATATTTTTCCTATTTTTACATATACATTTTTACGTACACAAATTTGTATCATTTTCGTTCATTTGACATATGTATTAGGTGTTGAACTTAATTCCTCCCGCTCGCTTAATTTAAAAAACAATGTTCTACACCTTTAAAAAATAAAAAAAAAATTTTTTTTAATGTAATATGCTAAAAAGTGTGTCAAACTTTTTAGCATATTACATTACAAAAATTTTTTTTTAGTTTTTTTAAAGGTGTAAAACGTTGTTTTAAATTAAGCGAGCGGTAGGGATTAAGTTCAACACCTAATATATAATTCGTTCAGTAGCGAAATTCTGTCACTTGTTATGCAATCGTTATGAGTTTCTAGAAATTTTTTACTTTTTACTCCCTAGAAACTTCCTAACAAACATTAAGTAACAGTTATATAATTGTTAGTTGTTAAATTGTTAATTTCCTACTTAACAATATAACTATAATATAATACATATGTTATATTACAGTTACATTGTTGAATGAGAAATTACAACTAACAATTATACAATTACTATTTAGCATTTGCTGGATGTTCGTTTATACTTCTGTTTTTTTCCCTTATTTGATTTAAACGCTTTAACTTTTATTTTCGCCAGGATAAAAGACGATTCAAAATAAGGAAGAGATCTTGGATAAGTTATATTGGAAAAATATACAGTTTTAATTGATAAACCTTACATATTTAACTGATTGATAAGATTTCGTTTTGTTACAGGTACTTTCGCAAATTGTATCAAATCATGTGAACACGATGCTATGAAGTTGATGGTTACAATTCACGATAAATTCCCGTCATATCACGACGTAACAAAATACGGCGGACGATCAGGTATTTGTTATCGGTTAATATGATGAAGAATATGCGATATTATACAGGATATTTCCTGTAACTTGATCATTTAAGATATATATCTCCTTTGTTTTTGACGATACGAGAAAATACCACAGGAGATCTTGTTCGATTCGAAGGAGCATATATTACAACTAAAAAAATTTTAGATAGAGATCAACAAGAATGCTTTTGTATATCACAAGTAATTTTAATTATTATATTAGAATGCGAAGTTTATACGGGATAAAAACCCATATAACATACAAACGCAGAAAAACGTAAAACAGTAAGATGTAAGTAGTAAGCGAAGTAATCGGCTAAATAGAGAACGTAAAGCAATAACGTAAGCAGTATAGCAAATCCAAATTGATTTGCTTATCGCTTATATCTTACTATTTCTATTTTTTTTTACCGCAGCCTCAAATTTCTCTATAAAAACTTCCAAATACAAATTGTTTTTATTGATTAATGAATGCTACATAATTATAATGCTGCACACTATTTCTGTGATCAATTATAAAGTAATATATTACATTTGTGATGTACACTCTCTAAATTATTTGGAGTGGACTCTCATTCTAAAAGAGTGAAAATTGAGCCATTTAAAAAAAAAATGATTCAATTTTCAATCTTCGAGAGTAAGGTTTCACTGTTTAGTATGAAATTCACTCTAAAAGTTTTAGAGAGCATTATAATTATATATATAATTTCGTAATATGATGAGATTTCCATAAACTTCCTTTCAGTTAAATTGTACACTAAGGCGTGGACATTAGTAGCCGATATATGGGCCTATTTTCACCTAGAACATGAACTTTGGATTGAAATAAAAGGAATAAAGTATTCTACCATATTTGCTGATTATCGTATGGTTCAGGTTTTCAATCATTTCAATGTTCTTGTTTACAGTAAAAGATTCTTGGACACACTCGAAAAAGAGGGTAAGGCATTTATCACTTTTTATCGATAACATATCCTCCGTTTTTCATTGAAGATTTTTTACATTATTCCATTCTCTGAATATTTTATTTAATATATAAAAATTATATTCTTTAGACGAATTTAATGCCTAAGAAATATCATATGTATACATATATTGCGATAATTTGAATTACATTACAGAATATAAGTAATTATTTACCGTGAAATATACGTATATTCCTTATCTGCTTCTATCGCTCTTCTTGTTTAAAAAAGGGAGATTTATTTAAATTATTAATTTCACTCAATGTGTAATTTATTTTTGTTTTAACATTTTAAATGTTATATTATATTATCATACTCATTCGATTTATTATATTATATTATAAGTAAATATTGGGAACAACGAACTCACCTCTAATGACATATACATATTGTCAAGATCCTGCGTGATCCTCGAAAGATTAACCCGCGCTTGTTATTCGTTCAAGTTATTAACAAATAAAGTTGACAATATAAATGTATGTTTAATTGTATATTTTAAATTATAATTATCACAAATAACAATATCCTCACCCCCCCCCCCCCCCCCCCCGGGCACTCACAATCAGATAAGGGTTAAGTTGGGTTAGGTTATGATTAAATCGGGGTGTGGTGCAGGGAGAGGAGCGGAACCCCTCAATATATGTCAAGATCGAAGTCATTGTAGGTGAGTCCGTCGTTTTCAATATTTACCTATTATTATTTCTCTTACCGTATTAATTATGATATTATATAGAAATGTTTACATGTATGTAAGAGATACTTTTTGTTAAGGGATACAATTTTTTCGCCAATTTTAATTTCTATGTGGAGGATATTATATTTATTGTATTTATCACATATATAGTAAAACACGTTGTGTTTTCTTGTAGCCTTCTTTTTACATGGGAGTAGAGAAGAATTAGAGATGCGCTGTTGTTCACTTATGATAATAAGATATCTGCATCAAATGTTGATGGAAACACTCAAGCAAGATACATTCATAAAACGAATACCCGAATTAAAGTTGCCAGGTTTCGATTGTACGTGTCTGCTTGACAATTTTCTGTGGGACTATCGACAAGTACATGATGAGCAATTGAAGAAGAATGTATTATGCAACGTCTACACTGAGAACTATTAGAACAATTTATATTGTTACAAATTGTAGTTTGGATAATACGTTTTCTCATGTTTTATTCATATCATTTATATTATAAACGCATTTTCAAAACGATGGAAAGGAAACTTAACGTGATCAATTTTGATTTTATATTTCTCGATTAAGATTGATTTTCCTTAAGGGCTCACACGTTTCTCGAACCTGAAAAGTGGTCAAAATGTGATGAGAAATTGTAAGAAAACTATTGGGCTAATCGATTTCATTTTTTTTTTATTTTAAAGATAGACTCTTAACGAGCATAAACGTACAAATAAATTTAAAAAATAATAAAAAACATGTCGACTGCATCCAGTGGCGTAGAACGTGTTTTTTTATCGTGTCAAACGGGTATGATTCAGCTCGTAATTTTTATCTGAAAAAAAAATTTCAAATTTTGTATCATTTTTTAGAATAATAGTTATCGGGTCACGAGAGGAATTTGAGAAAAAAAAAATTACGGAAATGGTCATAATTTGAATGAAAAGTCGTCATTTTCACCCAAAAATATTGTCTATTTTTTATTGCTATTCGAAAATGGTTAAATTTAATCAAAAAAGCTCTCGTGACCCGATAGCGAATCTGATTTAGAATGTGTATGCCAAAAATAAAGTTAATCGGACGAATGGTGAGGCAGTTATCATGCCCACCGTTTTGAAAAACGCTGTTTCGAGAAAAACGCGTTTAAAGTTTTGCAAGGATAAAATAAAAAATTTTTACTTACGCTTAATCAGCGATGCCTGCACCATAAAGTTGGCCCTCCTGTGCAGTATGACCCTCTTCTGACTGCAATCTGCTCTATATTTCAACGACAGTACATCCAACCGGTAACCGGTTCGAATTCTGACCTGTTCTGACCTACGGAGCGACCTGACTAGTTTCGTTAAAGCAGCTGTAACTTCGTCAATAATTCGAATATCGAACTTGTTCTGGTCTTAAAATGTTTCTAAGATATGTACCTTTTAAAATAAGCAAAATAATCAATTTTTTGAAGCCGAGAAACGTATGTGAGCCCTTAAAAGAAAAGATTCTTTTAGCATTCTGATATAAAAGTATTTGTAATGTTTAAATAAGTATTTGTAATATACCTAACTAATATATAATTAAATGTACACAATTACAACTAATAATTTACTTGTGTAATATATTATTATTAGTTATATATATTGCAATAATAATATTTCAGACAACGAAAAAGTTCAAAATCGAAACATAAGACATTTGTCTTTTAGATATAATATATCTTTTAACAAATGTCTCTAATACGTCTTTTAGGCGTCTTTCAGACGTTTTATGTTTCATTTTTAGATGTTACCTGGGATATCATTACTAATTATTATTAATCATTACTAAACACAATTATACAGGATGTCTAGTAAGTTTTGACAAAGCACTTGTAGAACGGATAAATTGAGTCAAAAAGTCTTCTACTATTTTGCAATTTTTACTATAATTAAGAAGATATTAATTACTAAAAATTGCCGAATATAATCTTTAATCATTTTTTACTCAAATACTGTCAACTTTACAGAAAAATTACAAAAGACAAAAATTGTTTATTTTCTTCTCATAGAGCTCTAAGAATTTTTCAGAATTTTTTATCAATGTTTAGTACTACATTTTCTTATTTTTAGGTTTTTATTAACATGAGAAAATTCGGTACTAAAAAATTCTCAGAACTTTATAAGAAGAAAATAAACAATTTTTGTCTTTTGTAATTTTTGTCTCTCGCTGTTTTTCTGTAAAGTTGATAGTATTTAAGTAAAAAAATTATCAATCAATATCCAGCGATTTTTAGTAATTAATATCTCGTTAACTATTGCAAAAATTGCAAAATGATAGAGGACTTTTCGACTCAATTTAATCCGTTCTATCTACACACAAGTGCTTTGTCAAAACTACCAGATATATATATATATATATATACACACAAACACATATAAGATATATATATATACTCTATATATATATACACTATATATACTCTATATGTATATATATATATACACATAATTTAAAAAACGTTGAATTCTAATATTTTTAGGAAGTTAATTCTATTAAACACTGACGTATATACGTATATATAAATAATTTCAACGTTACTTTTGCTTGTTACGCATTGTAGAAAATTTAAAAAATGCATTATTTTTACTAAAATTTTCCTATTTCTATGTACTTATATGATTATTATAATTAAAGTTTAATTTTAATAATAAAATACTTTATCTCTTTTAAATATAAAACACTTTCGTAATATATATTACATTATCTAAATTAAAAGTAATATCTAAGATTATTATTTCTTTTTATAACGTGCAAGTTTAACTCTTTCGATAATCCTTTTTTTTTGCGACGTGGTAACACGTACCCCTCGAAACCGTTTCACTTCCATTCGAAACATTTTTTCGTATTAACAAAAATAATTGAAATATTCAAGATATTCGATCTAAGTAGACAACTCTGTATATGTAAAAAGAAATCAAGTGTGCTCTTTTTATGTTCTTATATGTAAAATTTTAGGTACCGGAAAAAAGAGAAACGGAAGGTAAAAAAGATTTTGAAGTATGTAAAAAAAGTAAACGCAAAAGAGTAATATAGGGTAATTTGTCAAAATAACTAAACAAGTCATATAACACGGGATATCACGAATGTAGGATTTCTTCGTATAATCAAGAATCTTATTGTTATTATGTTATGTTTATTTTCTATCACAGCTGTAAAAGGTACACAATTACGGTCGAAATAGTCGCTGTCAATACTTGAGAACTGTAGGTTCAATTTAACTTAACGTCATGATTGCATCTTCCTTTCCTACGATTCCGTGTTCAATAGAAGAAATTATAGGAAAAAAAATAGGATTGGACGTATTTATTGACAAACATGGAGTGAAAAAATTAGCAGAAAAGGTTTGATCATTTTTCCTTTATCTTTTTTTTGAAATTTTGAAATAATTCAGGATTGATGATAACTTTTTCGTGATTCTTCAAAGAAAGCGAGTGAAAGTTAGAGATGAAAGAGAGAGAGAGAGAGAGAGAGAGAGAGAGAGAGAGAGGGGGGGGGGGGGGGGGGGGGGGGGAGGGAGGGAGAGGGAGAGCAGAAGTTACATTAAGCGCAAAATTTGAAAATATAATTTTAACGTTGCAATGTAATGAGAAATAAAGTTAATAAAAAATTCTAGAACAAAATTTTTTTTATTTCATAAATTTTACGAGTTTGTCGATTATTATTTCGCGATGGTTTATTTCAAATCAACTAACAATTTTAAATAAACAAGTGAACACATACAAAAGAAAACGTATTTTAATTATTATAATTTAAAATCTATTATTTTGGAAAGACTAATTATATAAAAATTCATTTACTTTGCATCTTTGATTTATTCCTTTTATTTGTACTTTTACTTTATTATTCGATAATATCTTTAGATTCCTTTAAACATAAACTGTGGCAGGAAATCAAATAATCTCACATTTCATATATTACAAAATATAATATATGATTTTTAAAAATATAAATAAAATAAAATTCTGCAATCAATTAAAATTTGTATCACAAAGCAAGTTCTGTTGAACAATAATATATTTTAATAGGTGGTAGAGTTCATGCTGTCTGATAATAAGAATACGTCGTATACCTTTATACGACAATTACCCAACCTCTATCCTTCTTTCTTCGATATTGTAGTTGGGGATTGGCTATTTTTATTGCACACGTTAAATTTTTCGCTTCGGATACCATATAGTACTAAACAATGGACAGTTAACAATTACACAGGATTTTGGGCATTATGTGCCGCCATCAAAAGAGCTATCGATGTGAGTCTAACTTAACCTTTTTATTTTTATTTTCTTTATCTTTAAATGATATTCATGAATATAAAGATTTTCTAATTTATATATGTATATTAATATTCTTCTGAGGTACTTTTAGCGTGATTCGGTATAGTGTTTTGTTTTTACATAGGCTGTGTTCTGATGTACACTGACAGTACTGAAAATTTATAGTTTACGTCACATATTATATATATAGATTTTCGGTACTGACAATGTATATAGCAACACGGCTAATAGATAGAATTAAAACTTTTTTATATTATATATATATATATATA